AACCATCGAAAGAGGAAACATTTGACAGCATTCTGCCAGACAACTTTTCGAATGCCTTCGCCTTTTTTAGAGAGTGAATACGAAGGGGAATTTGCCTTTGAATTGATGCTTGCAGTTGATTCAAGGTTCTTCCCCGCACTTATGCTTCCCCTCGATTGCTATTTTCTGCTGGAGTTTTTTTTCAGTATCTTTCGTTGCACTGTAATTTTTTCTCACTTCGCTACGGTACATCAGAAAGTGTCTTTGCCGAGCGTGAACTACTGCTACCAGCGGAAACTGAAGAAATAAGTTGAAAGGAATAAGTAATTTTAAAAGATTAGCTAAGGTCGGCTAAGAACTAGATTGTAATAAAGATTATAGGAATGTGTGTTTTGTGTACTTGTTCTGTAACTTGTAGTGTAACCCTATAATTATGCCATTTCCCTCCTCCCCCTAATTCCTAATGCTTCGACCTACTTCCCCCGTCTTACTAACTTCTAACAATTCCACCAAATTCTAAATGTTTCTATACTATCTGCCTTCCTACTCATTAACTAACTTGCCCTCCTTTTCTCTCCATTAATCTTCTTTATATAAACCCCCTCCTTGATCCAAACCCTGAGTTAGTTTTATGGAAATCGTCAGCTTCAATACCGTCTCGCCAACCGCTAGCAGCGTCAGCTTCTACACCGTCGCCTCCCCATCGCCGGCGTCCTGTTGCACATCTTGTGCGGTACCCCGGTTCATCGTTTTACGCGTCATCTCAATCGTCATTTGACGCGTCATCTTATTCGGCGTTTTCTCTAGAGTGAAGTGTTTATCAGAAGAATGAACTGTTGGTTTTTCTCCTCTCTCTATCGCTGCTGCAGTCAAGGACCACGTAACGGGCTTAACAGTAGCATGGTTCCTCAGCATTGTAGCTGGCAAGTTTTCCTATTGCTTTGACCAGCAGTTAGCCCCCTCCAACAGATCCTGACATTTGCCTGAGTTCGTGAAAGTAACTTAGGATGTGTATTTTAATTGTAATTTTAATTGGTACATGTTTAAGAAGGATTGTAAGGAAATAAAAAAGGGGAATGTGAATAAAATAAAATTAAAATCTGAACGGGAATATTTCGGTCCATCAAATCGCATACATTCCTATTCAGTGTGGTATCATTTCAAAGGATATTTTAGAAAAAGGGATATAAACGCGCGAGTTATGTATGGGGCTGCTATGGCATTATGGAACACAACCAAAATCAGAATTTCTTTAGCAACAAAGAAATAAAATAAAGAACACAGGATCGTAGGCAAGGGTATTGGGGGGACGTTTGTGATGAAATAAAATTTCATTTTGTGGCTTTTTTTTGGTGTTCTCTTGTCCTGAAAAAACAAAGCGCCATTACGTGTGGCAATCTGAAGTAGAACGAGGAGGAAATTACAAAATTGTACATTCCTTGTAAATTGTCTTGTTGCGATAAATTGTAAATTCTTTTTTTTTTTTTGTTTGAGTACCATGGGAGAGATGTTGTGGTTTATGGAGCCAGTCTGTTACTTTCTCTTTTTTTTTAGTCAGTTCGATATTTTACGGAACATGGAGAGCAGCAACAGCAACAGCAGCAGCCGAGGCCAAAAAATTTTCTTTCAAATTTGGTCGATAGTGTGCGTGAAGAATTTACAAAAAACAAAGAATTACAGGTAATTACCATTCATTTTACTTCCAAAAAACACAAAGTTAAGTGATTCTGACGAGTCATTATGTTTCCTACGATCACCCAGTTGAGAATGACAAATAGTTATTTTAGGAAAACAGACGACAGTTGGACGAAAGGTTAAGAAGTTTGAACGACAGTGAAGCGCTGAAAGAAGCAAGGAGGAAATTTGTATGTTTTTTTTTCTCTTTTAGTATACTTTTAGGTTTTTTTTTGAGCCGTAGTACTTTATTGGAAATGTGTTGCAGCCTGGTAAATCCTCGGAGACTTTCTACGACTTTTTTGACTTCTTCGAGTCGGCTTCCCCGACTTTTTTGCTCCCTAACAGGCGCATAGAGCGCATAGAACCTTGGTATCTTGAGACTTTTTTTTGACTTTTTCGATTTCTTCGAGTCGACTTTTCCTGCTTTTTTGCACCTTAACGGGCGCATGGAACCTTGTTGCCGTGATAAGGATATGTAGAAATATTTTGGATAAAAGAAGCGATAGATATGTGCTAGCACGTTTTTTGTTATTTTCATAGTTAGCTCGCGGCATTTGAAACATTCGATTTTCTAGAAATTTCATCTATTTCCCCTGCATATGTAGAAGTGCTTCCCATATTTTAGCTTGATTTTTTTTACTGTTCAAATATTGGTGAGACACGATGCATTTACTCATCAAACAGGACATATATTATGCGTTTGGCTATGAAAAAGAACACAATACAGAATCAGTGCATTAACTGAAAATTTTTTTGCTTCAGGAGAGGGGGGGGGGGGGGGAAATTTGTAATATTTCTTTTTGATTAGTGAAATAATGAAACTAATTTTTGCTGTTTGCAGGATTTGATCGAAAGGGAAACATTGAAGAGTTCACAGATTATCCAGAATAAAATAGGTGAAATTGGAGAACAAATATCAAAGGTTATTTTATTTTTTTGTGCACCCGTAGCTGTTTTGTTTGGAAAAGAATGAATAGAAACTTTAGTGTTTTTTTTATCTCAG